TTGCATTGTCAGTGGAGGACAGACGAAGAAGAATGGAAAGAATCGATGGAAAATCGGCAGAGATTTTGATTACACACATGGGCGGACAGGCGCGGCGCTCTTTGTACCGGCACCGCCTAGGCTCGGAGGCGCGTCAAATTTGCTTGAAAATCAAATTAATCTCGCGGCTGGGCGCAAGACCCTTTCTCTCGCTTCATCCTTCTTTCTTCGCTTCTATTCCGCTGGCCCCCTTTCCGCTCTTTCCCGCCGCGTATCACTCTTACGTTCTCCCTCTCGCTTCTTCTTTCTCCCTCTTCTCCTCTTGCTCTCTTCATCCTCTCTCGGTATCTCGAGGACACGAGCAAATCGAAGGCACGGGACCGAGATGGAGGTGAAGGAGGTGGGCCGGAGGTCCTCCGTGCCACCGACACGGACCCAGAGGCGAGAAGAGAAGGTGGCGCAGCAACAAAGAGCTTTGGACTTCTGGCTGTGGCCAGTGCAGGGCCGTAGTTATCGTATCGTTGCGAAATGTAGAATTTCAGGTGCATGTATTGATCGTTTCAAATCGATAATGTCAAATATAACGCACAGCGTTGTAATGCGATGGACAAATACGGATGAAACGCGAGGTAGGAAAATATTTATGGAAGATTACTCTTTGAATTATAAAGCAACATTGATTGAATATAATAATTTATATAAGAACCATAAAAACTTCTTATTGTTGGAATCGTAGATCTAAACAGAGATAAAGGAACATTTAGTTATTTGCTTATCATTAATATTGTTAACTGTAAGTGTTTGAAAAAACTTAATCGATGTGAAGCGTAAGAATATAATATAATTGTAACAAAGTTAAATATATTTTATATATGAAATGAAATAAAATTTGATTTAAGTGACACACAATGTAAAAGCATAGTATCATTTTGGTACATATATCGATTTTACCATATATTTTACATACATATACTTTTTTAATATTACATGAATTATTTATAATGGCATTCATGTTTCTAAAATGAAGTTTACTCATAAATCCACAAGCAATAACTTCATATTTAAAACGTTACAACTCAAAGCTACACGAGCTGTTTACTATTATTTATTTATTTTAGTCGCGAGTACGTCCCTGCTGCATCCTATTCGGTCATTCAAATCTCCGTTCATAGAAATGAGACAGACGATCGCGCTGCGTCGTGTTACTCCACACTTCTGCGGTTGTAAAACGTACAGGGTGATTCAACAAAAATTACACGAGAAGACTAATTTTCGAAATGCGATACGTTTTTCATGTAGCAGCCTGCAATCAAAGTTCCGAGAGCGGGAATAAAATTTATCTCTGCGGTACGATAATCGATTTATGGACCAAAATAACGAAATCAATAGTACTGTTTAACAACATTTGTATAATGTTGATTAAAACATGGAAAAATTGTGCATTTTTGTTCGATTATTTCTGCCATTTATTTATTTCTCTTTTATTTTTGATAATTCAATCATCTAAAATATATTATCAATCTTTTTTTAAATTCACAAAATCGGCCTGTATCCCTGTGATTCTTAGAACTTGAAATAAAAAACAGGAGATCAAAGAGATTCTACGTGAGAATAAAAGAGAGCGAAGGGTTGCGGAACGAAAAAAAAGGAAGATCCTTCCTGTAAACTGAACGCGTTCATAGGACTGGATGAGTACAGTGGAAGTCGTGGAATAGGAGGAAAAGGAAAGGACTGAAGAGAACAGAGCAAAAGATGAGGCGACAAAGAGAAGCGGAGGGGGGTGGGATTGAAATCTGAATACACCATGGGCAAGAGACGACAGGAGACGAAAAATCGATTCCCTCTCTGGAAATGCCGACGACCAATTGTGTGGCGAAGGACAAGATTCTTGCCGTTGTCAGGAATTCAGCTCGCGAGTTCCGTTCCGGGCGAGGATGCGAATCCTTCGGAGGACAGCACAAGTATACCTATGCAACATCGCGGGATCTCTCGACTTTGATGCTTCTCCCTTTTTCGGTGCAACCGAAAAAACAACGGGATCCGCGTAGTTGGAACTGCGTCTCCCTGGTTCGACATTCGTATCAATGTTGTTGTGATTGATTCGCAGAAGATTTTGCTCTCGATAAATCGAAATGTTTTATAACAAGTATAATTAAGGATTAAAATTGTTGAAATTATACATAGATAATAATTTATATATTCAAATGTGTTTGACGCTGTTGTTATTGTACTTTCACTTTTATTTAATCTTTTTTGCTTTTTTATAAAATTATTATTATTTATACAACTATTTTTATTCCCCAAACGGTGGTTTGTGGTGGACTCATTTAATTATAAACTTTTTAGTCAAAAATATTAAACAATCCAATTTTCTTTATATACATCTACAAAAATTTGACTTATTCTTGTTAAACCACACTCATATTTAGTATTTAATTATTCTTTTTTATAAGATTTTGATGTCATTTTTATTGCTTGAAGTTAAGTAATATTTCTTGACATAAATTAATTAAATCTTGTGTTAGCGATTGTGTTTTATAGATTTTGACAGCTTCGGAAGATTAAGTCACGTAAAGAAAATAAGATCTATATAAAAGTGATGTATATAAACTTTCTCTCTACACATATTTAAACTTTCCCTTTACATTATTTAAAAAATTTTCATTTTTATTGCTTTTATTTCGTTGCGTTTAAATGAGGAAAATACATTCGTCTATTTTATATTTTATATTTTTCGGTCGCCACACATTTTTTTACTTTAAAATACATCGTCAGGAAGAGTGAGAGTTTCCTACAACTAGTACCTATATATACATATAAATCCGCCGATATATATGATAAGGACATCCACGACGAATTTTCTCTATGTGCCAAACTTCGATCGAGAAAACATCAACTCCCTTTATCTCGAAATCTCGGAAAGTTAAAAATCGAGCATGCCACATCGAGGATTGGCTTTAACGATCTATATGAATGAAACGCGTCGCGTCGTCATCCAATAACGAGAACCCGTTCCTTCACGCGGCGCTGAAACGAGCGGACCATAACATTCGACGCGTCTGTTTACGGATACTCGGAGGTCGCGCACGAGTCATTTAATTAACTTCTCGCGGTAGTGAAAGTAATTTATCCGGATACTATCTTTCCGTCATATTCATATATGCATTAAAATTACTTTGGAAAAAGTAGTAGTTGAACATTTCTCAACGACTTTAATATCTATCTACGTAAGTAGATATTAAATGCGTTCCTTGCGCTGTCGACACATTAAACGTACACCGATTTACGAAGTTGGTGAATATTACAAGCGCGTAAATAAAAAGAAATAAACAAGACGCAGTATCGTACTGATAAATATCTCTGATGTAATTTTGACTCAGTCATTGAACCTGAAAGCCCGCGAGTTGAATAGCACGCTATCTCAACGATTTTCAACGGCATTGCACACTACCATAATTCATCTGGGAAAATAATCTTCTAGATATCTGACTGTTTGCTTGTTTGCAAATCGCAAAGCTTCCATCTCAATTCATAGAGAAAATATTTTAAAATCAATACGGAAAATCGACTTTTATTCCGTTTGCTCCCCCACTTTCATCGATGAAAACGATTTCGCAATTCTGATTCCGAGAATCTTCTATACACTTCAGTTGCAAACAAAATCCTATAATTTTTTTTACTTAAAAAATAATGCAACTGAACATGATTGGTTAAATTAGTATTTTTTTTTTTTAAATTAAGCTAAAATTAATAGCTTACAAAAGTTTAATTTTTTGCGCTAGTCGTATCTGCGTATTCGTTAAAAATTATTTGTAACGAAAAATTTTTCGCATTTTTTAAACCAGAAAGTTGGAAGTGACTCATTCAGCGTATATTTGATTTTGTTTCAACGGGCACGCTCAATACGCTTCAATCGACACACATTATACATAATTTCGCTCTAAATCGCTCGAATGGAACCAAAACATACGAGAACTAATCAATGAGGATTATGTAGGTCGCAAAATCATCGGTTTATAATAAGATTAATTACGTCAATTTAAGGCACCAATAACAGCGCACAATAAGAATAAATTATTTTTTATATTTATATTTTATTTATGTTCTTTATATTTATATTCTATTTATAATCTTTATATTTATATTATATCTTATATAAAGAATAAACTATTTTTATATAAGAGAGAGAATAAATATTCTTTAAAAATAAAGAATGTTACACCCTTATTTGTCCGTATTACTAGTTCAATTTGCTATTCTAAAATTAGAGAGTTTAATCAAATATTATATTATTTAAAAAATTTGTGTATTCTTTCTTTATATCGCTCATTAAATATAAAACAAGAGCAATATGACGCAATAAAACTGATAGCGTTCTCTAAATGCAGACCAACGCACATTTTTGACACCACGAACATCGCGCTTATCACAACACGGAGCTTTTTCTAAACTAATTCTTTAATGTTGAGGTTTTTTATAGAAAATAATATTAATATTTAGAGAGAGAGATAAAAACTTAAAAAACATTAATAAATTAAAATATGTTTAATGGTTAATAAATTAAATTAAAAATTATTAAGTTATCTAATCATTTTTAATATTTTATTTAACTTAATAACTAATTACTTATCTTTGCAACTGAAAAAGTTGAATTATCTTTCGCAAAAGAAAAAAAATTATCTTTTAATTTCTAACAAAAAATTGTTAATTAATTAAATAATATTGCTAAAAGAATATGTTCTCAAATAATTAAAAATTTTTTGGCATTTTGGTTTTACGACTTTCAAAAACTCTTTTTTAAGTTGTAACGATTTTTATGAAGTCACATCAATTCATTTTTGAATATGTTGATAAAATAACGTTTATCTAATTCATTCATAATACCTAAAAAATTAAAATTTTTGAGTTGTGTTACTTGCAATCGTCCACCTTCTAAATACTAGTTCTTTAATTTTATTTTATTTGCCTACAAAGTGGAAAAAATTTTTGGATATTTTCGAGATTTCTGTATACTGTTGCAGGAATCATGGGGACGATACGGCGGCTTTCCGCAATGCTTTTGTTAATGATGCATTCTGCTCTGCTGAGTGCTCATCGTGAACACAAGGTTCGTCTTCATTCGTTATTATTGTCATCCATTTATCAAATAAATCATCTGTTGAAATTTCTGTGAATGAATAATTTCACATATTAAATCTAATATAATATATCTCTCATATATAACCGAGGAGGTAACCACTAGTTTAAACATTGTCCCACAGATTACACGATTTTATTTGATTTCATGCGATTTTATCCGATAAAAAATAATTTTCTTTACTATATATATATATATATGATGTCATTTAGTAAAATAAACGATTATATCTAATATTATATAATTATTCCTTGTAGTTGCATATGTAATTATCGGATTATACACAGGGATTTTATGTGAATCTTATAATGATTTCAGGAACTCTATCCCACGATTAAGTGCTTACCCCCTCGTATATAACTCGTCAACCAAATTATCGCAGCGTAAATTTATATCAAAATTTTGCATAACTTCAAGTAAGCGTAATTCCGTGAAAGATAGACGTATTGAAAAGTTCTTTTATATATAAAGATTTTTTAAGATTCTTTAAGATTTTCGTAAATTTTTAATTCATCCTTATGTCCGTTTATCATACCATCTTTTCTAAAGTAAAGAAGTGTTACGTCTCAAAAAATTGCATATTTTGATCTACTTTGGGAATGAATTTTTTTCGCAAATGTTATGATAATCATCGTAAAATATGAACTTTTTCTTGCAAATTTGAAACAAGTTAAAGATTTGTATGATTTTTTGATGTGGCAATACGTTGTATCAAAATTATCTGTACAGTCAATTACACGGTCGCTATTAACATTACCTAATGCACTTTACAGAATAGCTGTTAATCGAATTTTGCGCATCGTATGTTTGTATTCGCGTGAGTGGCATTTACACAAATCTGGTATTTCCATCGGTAAAAGGTTGAAATTTCGAAATACTGCCAATAAATTTTCAGAAATTAAAAGCAAATCGAATACGGCGGGAAATATCTCAAACCACAATTGCATTTATATACGTGAAGTTTGCAAAAAATTATTCAAAGACTAGGTGAGAATATCAAATTTTAAAGTATAAATACCATCCACACGCGCATCCCCTAATGTACACACACGTGATGCGTAAAATCCAGGCAGCAAATTTCTCGTGAAGCGCATCGAGTTTAAGCGCATAAATGCTAATCCTGGCGCGTGTAAATGAATATATTATATATAAATGCATAAATAATTTAGATATCCTTATCCCCGCATCAAAATATCATACAAATCTAAAGATTAACTTGTTTTAAATTTGCAAGAAAGAATCCATATTTTACGATGATTATCATAACATTTGCGAACAAAATTCATACCCCACAAAGATGTTAAACTATGCAATTGTTTGGATACGTAACACTTTTTATCTTAGAAAAAATGATGGGCAAAAATAAGGATAAATTTAAAATTTATGAAAATCTTAAAATACAGACTTGAGAATGAAAATAAAAAGACTTTTCAATACATCCATTTTTCACAGAGTCAAGTAATTTTGTTGACGAGTGTGTATCAAATTAAATTTACAAAAAAATATATTTTATTAGGTTCATAATATCGTGCTGTATCCTGATAAGCACAGTTGGTGCAAGACGACGCCTATAAAACAGGTAGTGACATGGCCTCAGTGTTCTTCGCAGGAATTGGATAATAACGTTTGTGTCGGCGCATGTTTTTCATATATGGTCCCTCACAGTGAACCCTCCGCACCTGGAGATCTCATAAGACCCTATTGCGATTCCTGTCAACCTCTGGACAGTGTTTGGCATACTGTGAGTCAATTGATAAACGCATCAACTAATAAAGTGTGAAAGTTGTAAATTTGAACAAGTATTAAACATTTTAATTTGTAATATACAATTTTAGAGTTCGACCAAAATCAATACCCAATTTCTTTTTTATCTCAGGCTGAAACTGAAAATAAATATTCGGTTTTTCTTCAATTTCGACTGAAACCGAAACGAATATTCAAATTGGAGAAATCTTATAAATATTATACGATTTTTACAAAATTATTGGAAAATGCCAAAATATGTAAAATTTATGCACTTTTAAAAACCAGATTTTATTAATATTTTATTATTTCTTAAAATAGAAAATTCATTAAATTATAAGTAATTTTTTATAAATTATGAGGAATTTCAGGCACTAAATATGTAGCGAGTAAAAAAGGATAAAGAAAGAAGAGATAGCATCAGCGTGGTTTGCAGTAATCCTCGTAGTAATCTGTGTCGATCAGTCGACGATAAAATAACATAAAATAGATTTTCAAATGCCCGGCGGGCTGCAATTTGTACAATGTTGGTTTACATGACAAAATTTTTTTTTTAATTTTGGCCGAAACTAAAATCAAATCGAAACTCTGATTTGTAATCGAAACTCATCAAAGTCGAAATCAACACCGAAAAGTTTCGGTCTAAAAATTTTTTTTGTTTCATATGATCGTTTTTCTAAATTTAAAAAATCTTGGATATATAAAAATACTGAAAGTGTTTTTTATTAGAAACAAATGATTTACTATTGTGTATATAAATGATAAAACATTTAAAAAATTACTTTTTTATGATATTAATAATTCTTACAAAGAAAAAAGTAAATAAGAGACCAAAATTTAATATGGTGAATAAATTCATCAAGTATCTTTCAATTTTTCAACCTGTCATATTGTGATTGTACTATTTCAAATTTCTAAAATTTAACTTTAGACTTTTAATCAGCGATCCAAAAAAATACATTAATATAAACATCTAAACGTTAATCAAAATTCAATAGAAGAAATGCGATTATATATATAAGAGGATTAAAAATTATAGCTTTTTCTTGCAATATAGATTACTTACTGAGAAAAATTATCGCGTTAATTAAAAAAATATTTTGTGCTTATCTTTATTATCTAGATATTCTTTATGCACCTGATAAAATTGATCGATAAAATCACAAGTCGTATTTTATCGTTAATCGTATTTTTAAAAGTGTATGCTGTTTATAATATTGTTCTACTCTTTAGTTTCATTACTGATTCGAGGAATCAGTATAATTTTCTGAATATTACATTTCCTTCCGAAAATAAAGAAATTAATTTTTTCATAATAAATATTTTGAATATAATTATTTAAAAATTAGCTGTTAACAACTGTTGGAATTATTCCATGTTCTCAGGTTACGCTAGATTGCAAAGACGAACAAAATAATCCAGTGACTATGCAAAAGAAAGTGCAGATCATAACAAATTGTTCCTGCAGTTCCTGCATGGAGACGTCAAAAATCAAGCCGGATTATAACACCCTCCTACAGTCCCTAACAGAGGAGAATTTGGATAAGAATGTTAATGTGGCACACGAGACGCCCGATTTACTGCTGGATCCGAATTTAAATGCCTCGAAGAATACAACAAGAGAATTTAACGGAACGCAAATCAATGAACGGTTCCATCAACTCGTCAAAAAATTGAAGGAATCGCAAAAGCTGGATGAATCTCATATGAAGGAATTGTTCTCTAAATATGAAGAGGAGGTCGACTTGGAGAACTTGAAGGAAACGATTAAGAAGTATACTCAAGAAAACAAAGAAGGCCAGCACGAGCATCATCATCAGCACCATGAACATCAACATCAGCATCAACAGCAACAACAGCAACACCTTCATCACGGACCGCATCACTCTTTAGTATTAGACTCAGACGTGAAGGAAAAGATCGATGTGGAACCGCATTACCTTCACCCCGCGGTCGCTGGACAAGAGATCAGTTACCATGACAACATCTTGGTGGGTAAAGAGAAGAAGAAAAATTTTTAGACCTAACAAAACGGAATTTGTCACGCACAAGAGTCGCTTTCGTTCGCTACGCTCGCAAAACGTAGTCGGTTAAGATTCATAAAAATGCGTAGATACATTTATAAGCGAACGATTGGGATACCTAGTCTGCTGTCTGATTTTTATTCTACGTATTTATTTACGTAACGATAATTGGATCGTGAGATATTAATTGTTGATATATTTATTAATAATTATTTGTCTACATATTATACGCGGAACCGTGCCGTCACTAATCTTTTAATCTACACATATATATATATATATGTACAGTCCATTCTAATTCCATTTCGAAATTTTCATGATCACATAATTGAAGTGGAGATATGATGATATCTTTACAAAATTTATAAATTAGTTGATAATGAAAAATGTTAATAAAAATTATAAACAAATGAAAAATGATTTATTTATTAAATTAAAATATATAAAAGGCTTTTGTCAGCGCGGAAGATAATGTGCAAATTTATTGTAATAAAAACTTTAATTCTACATATTTGTCTATGTCTAAAAAAAAAATATATAATACATTTAAAACTTCTCTGTCAATTGCTCCTTGTTTCATTTTATTATACCTAGCGATCTAGCCAATTATAAGATATATTTAGTTTCTTTATCAATTTTTTTGCAATTAAACATTGCAATATTGCAACATGGTTATTATATAAGGTCCATAGTGACGACCGCCATGTGTCTGAAGTATCCCGACGCATCGTCGGAACGGTGACTACCCAATCGGTGCCGGTGCACGGCGCCGGCGCGTATAGCGCAGCTACACAATGATAATTATATTTAACTATGTTGCCCCAGCTATATCGATTTGAAAAAATTATATATTGAAATAGAGAATCTCGACATGTTTTCTTGAAAGTATAAAGGTAATCACTAAAATATATCATCAAGAAAAAAATTCCTAAAAGATTAAAACATTTTATACTGGTATACTTTTATTACATAAATAAAAAAATTTAAAGTTACCTGTACAAAGTTTACAGCATATATTTTTTTCATTAAAATTGATTGAGACATTTTCAAGAAAAACCACTTTTTTAATTTTGTTTTCGTTCCTAAAAAAAAAAAAATAAAATTTCAAAATTAACTTTTGAGAAAGTTTTACATTCCGTACTAACTAATGACACCAATTTGAGCTCGATTGGTGCAAGGGCGAATTTTACATATTTCGCTATATTTTTAAAAAAAAAAAAAAAAAGATAAAAATGAGGATGTTTTAAAGGTGCCGGTTTGACGTGGAATGCCTCGTAAGTATTTAATCTTTTTTTATGGGAAATATGTAAGAATGTTACGCTCATAACGTCATGCTAAGAAACACTACGCATTCTTAGGGATTTCAAATCCTACCATTTAATACGAATCTTCTCATTCTTTGTATTCTTTTACATTTTTATTCCTCATATAACTCTAGTACTCCACGGAAAAAAAAATTGTGGCGTTTCCTACAGCGCCAATTAAACCCCCTACTGCATGCTACGGTTATATCGAATTCAATATATGAACGGTTATAACTCCACCCATATATTGATAATAATGTGATTCGATAATTTCATGATTTCACGACCACCACAAGAGGCGTTGCCACTACCATTTGACGTTATTACTCACCCCTCGTCAGTACTGATTAAGTCATAGCAACGAGCAACACGTAATAAGCATTATGCTAAATTCGTCCAGGAGCTGGACCCGGTTTCGCGCGGGAAAAAATTTGCGACGACTTTATCGTGACCCAAGTTCTTATCGTATACGCTGAAATGTACTCAGATTCCTGGAGATCCTTAAAATTCATATCATTCTTATTTAACATTCGGTAAATGACAGAATGACACATATAACGTCCCGGGAGAACCTAGGGTGGGAATCCGACACGCCCTTTTTGGTAGTTGTGTGTAATCCATGTGAAATTGTTACAGCTTCACATTGACATGTAACAGCGCCATGGTTGAAAATAATATCGGAGTCGTCGCAAACGCAATTTTTCCCGGGTCAAGCCCGGAGAGGGGGCACAGCTCCTCCAGTGAGACATTCGGGTTGCAAACTCGGTAGTGACCGATCTCTCGTTGTTCCCCCTCTCTTATCAGCTCTTGTGCTAATGCTAAATTTTAATGTATAAAATCTCTCCCGGTGCACAGTTCGAATCCTGAGCGCGTAGTGAACACAGCTCCTCTCCTGCTTCCGTAAAAGTCTCTTAACAAAATCGAATTGTATTACAATTACATTTCCTCAATGTGCTTCAACTGTTAAAAAACGTGTTCTACAAAAAAGTTTTTTTCTACAACGGTACTAATTAAATTGTAAAATATAACGAACTTTTTATTTAAACACATTATAGATGAAAAAAAACCTTTAATTTTTATTGATTAGCACCATTACGAATGAATAATTTCCTAAAATTCGATTGTTCGAAAAGTTCGCGTCTCGATATACTATCACGCCGCGGATCGAGATCGTTGACAGTCGTCTGGCGCGAGCAAGTGCCTCATAATGATAAGAGAAGACGACTTTTGGTCGACGGTGGCGGTAGTACATACCTACTTCGTGTTTGGCGTGGTGGAAAGAGAGCGATCGGCGTGATGTATTAACGAGAGAACGCAGTGTCTTTTAATGTGCCGTCGCGTACAGTTGTCGCTTTCTCGCGCGAACGCGAGATCGCGATCAAAAAATGTTCGCGTGTCGAAAATTCATTGAAACACTCTTCCGATGAAATGACGGTGGATCTGTTAAAGCCAGTGCGATACATTTTTTTTTTTTTTTAATCACCAAACACAATCCATAAAAATTGATTTTATAGTTATACTTTACATCAGATTAAAACGATTACGCTCCTCTCAAGTGCGTTTAGAAATGGCAATAATGAAAGACAATTATGGAATGGAATTTCAGAAATAGAGGCGAAAACATTTCTAAAATTCTATTTTGGAGTGAAGAGCGTAGTCGTTTAAATCTGATATAAAATATAACTATAATATAAAATCAATTACTTTCTATAAAAGCTTTTTTTTTCTGAAATGGTGTTAATTTATAAATAAATTGTAAATGTAACGAACTTTTTATTTAAACATATTATAATTAAAAAGCTTTAAGTTTTTATTGATTAGGATCATTAGGAATGAATAATTTTCCAAAATCCGAAAGGCAATTACTCGCCATTTCGAAACGCAAATAGAGAGCATATAGTCATTCTAATCTGATGTAAAGTGTAAATAAAATTAATTGTTAATCAAATTAATTCCTGAATTGTAGTTGATTGATTAAAAAAATCTTATAAAAAATAATCGGTTTATATCAGAAGAATTATAAGTGCAACCCCAGCTCAAGATGGACGACGATCCAGTGGATCCCCCAACTGAAAACAAAGGTAAGATTTTCCCAATTATTTGAGTGTTATTTTTTGTATCAATTTTCAATGGAAAATCTACTGCACTTATTTGTATATAATTTTTTGTGTCAAATTTTAATTAACTATGTATTGGATCGAAGGAAAAATTCTGCGATATTATTTTATTAGCTCAAAATTACCAAATTCACATAAACTAAAAAATTATAAAAATTTTTTAAAAATAGAGATTTCAAACTTTAAACCTTTTTTTTAACCAATGAAAAATCGATGAGAACAAGCCGTAACGGTCAAGTTGGATCTTAAGTGTTTCTAACATATAATAATAATTACACACGTGTGAATTTATATACTACATATGTCAATTTTTTAATTGCGCTCCGAATTTTTTTCAGATTTGAAACGCATACTCTATTAAACTACCGCAGTAATATTGCGAGCTAAATTGACCAACAGTTTTTTATGCTTTTTGCATATCTTAGATCGATATCTTAATACTGTTGAATGACATATTAAAATCTGTAAATAATTAATTTTCATTGCGAAAAATATTATCTCGGCTCCGGCCTCTCGAGTTGAACCCAGATCTTTTGCATTCCGTGCGAGCATCCTAAGCCTTTAGATTACCAAGGTCTTAGGAATATTCTTCGCAATAATCAGTATACGTGCGAATAATGTCTATTTTGCAGGCGACATAAATAAACAATATTAAATCTTAAATTTTATAGGACCGTAAGGATTTAAGAGATTTCAAGCTTTAAAATCTTTCTTTTTAAATTAAAATTTTGTTTATTTTTGACGAAGGTATTATATATATAGATTTTAATAAATTTTGATATGTCATTCAACATTATTAAGATCGATTTAAGATGCGCAAAAAGTATCAAAAAATTGTTAAATTGTTAGTCAATTAAACTCGTGATTTACTGCGATAATTTAGTAGAGCTTGCGTTTCAAGAAAAAAATTCGGCGCACAGTTAAAAATCTACATTTTATGTGATAAAAATTAGTATTGCTATAGTAAAAATTACTTCGGAATCATAAGGTGTAAAGGTCATAAGTTAGTTTTAAATTTTATTATGTTGTATTGTAATTTAGTCTGTAAACAATATCAAATCTTGTAGGAACGTGAGAATTTAAACCGATAAAAACCGATAAGAACATGCCGTAACGATCAAGTTGGATCTTGAATGTTTCTATATAATTGCGCTTATATACTACGTTTGTAGATTTTTAATTGCTGCTATCGCAGTAATATCAAGTGCGGAAAATCTAAACTACATAGTAATATCATTGACTAACAATTTAATTAACAATTTAAATAAAATTTTTTTCAGACTTGAAACGGAAAATCTAAACTATATAGTAATATCATTGACTAACAGTTTAATTAACAATTTAAATAAAATTGTTAGTCAATTTTATTTAAATTATTAATTAAATTGTTTGTCAATGATATTTCTATATAGTTTAGATTTTCCGTTTCAAGTCTGTAAAAAATTCGGCGCAAAATTAAAATCTACATACGTAATTTATAAATTCGCACGCAATTATATAGAAGCATTCAAGATCCAGCTTGACCGTTACGGCATATTCTCAATGGTTTTCATTGGTTTAGTCTATAAAGTTATGATGATCTATCGAAAATACAAAAGTAATAAAATATAATTTAAAATTGTATTAAAACTTAATATAAAATGTTCTCCGTCTAGTATATAAATTCATATACGCAGTTGTGAAAGCACCAAAATCCAGTTCGACCGTCACGGCTTGTTTCTCACATTATTGATTTTAATTCTCACGGTCCTATAAGATTTAATATTGTATATATTAGTTTTGAGCTGATAAAAACCGCAAAACATTTCCTCCAATCCAATACAATTTGTGTGTAATTTTCTGTGATAATTTTTGGTTTATATTG